GGGGTCTCACAAGAGCAGAATAGATAATAAACAGATCACAAAAGGAAATCTGGCTAAAGGATAAAATGTCCCAATTCAAATAAAGCTGCAGCCTAATATATGCTGATCCAAAATTTTCAAGTGCAGCAAGTTATTTCAGTGCACAGATTAATTGTAGGGCTGAAAATGCGTTCTATGAGCATTAAACTTAAGCTTTATAAGGAGTCTCTAATGAGATACGCAGAACAGAAGTAACAATTACCATAGGCTACTTTTGAGACTCCTGGCCGAAGCATTTGATGTCACTTCCTACCTCGTACAGCATGTGGGAGTTTGAAAAGAATTTTCTCCTTTTTCAGTCTATTTTTCCCCCAAGATGTGGTTTATGCAAGATGAAAATAACTTTCTAGCCAGCTGTTGGAACACTATTCTTGGTTATTTTTTCAAATCAAAGATCATTAGGTTCATGATGTCATAATTATTTTTCCTTCAGATAATTACCTGCAACTCTCCTTGCCACCAACCACTAGCATTTTTCTTCAGAATAAGTATTAGCTGTCCTGGAGCGAGACTAAGCTGTTCAGTTCCTGAGGCAGCATAAGCAGTAGTAACCTGTGCAATTTCTGAAAAGAGAGCATATTAATTGCTTTTGTTATTCTTTCATTACAGTAAGAGCAAGATCCACAGAAATATTCTGGTACGTATCTTGCAGCTAAGCACATCAGCCACCATTAAAACTCTGCTATGAGCCTAAATGCTCGTGGTCACTTCAGAAACTGCCCTAAGCGTTAAAAAGTTATCACATACTTACCAGGTTTCTTATTTATGGTTCCAGTTTTGCCAGCATTACTAGAAGCCTACAAAGACAAAACAATCATCTTGTGACGTGCAATAAAACCAGAAGAGTTTACACCAACTTTAAGCATGCGGACAGAAAAACAGATGGAGATTTTAATTTTGAGCCCATATTTAATAAAATACTACCCTGTACCCAGCCAGTGTGACACTGTGGCTAGATTTAGGGCTCAAGCTACCCAGGCTTGTCTTTTCTGTCAGGGACATTAGCCCCTGCCTAAAATCCCTATCTAAGAGCTAGATATCAATACCAGTAATACAATAAAATTGAAATAAAGCATCGTGTGTTAATTCCCAGAATAAGAACTCACTTCTTGATCCTTTGGTCTGACGTAATTGGAGGGGAAGATTCCAGTTCTGCCATCGATGCTCCCGGTCCACCATTCCCCTTCCTTCTGGGTCACTAGGATTTCCTCACCTTCCATGAAAGTCAAGTCGCCAGGCTCAGAGCTTGAATACGAGTAGAGCGCAACATACTCTGTGCAAGCAGCACACACAGAGAGGGAGACAACTGTTTCAGATAGGAGGGTAAATGTATACCAGAAGCAAGTAAAGGTACCCGATATTGGCGTTCATAACTTGGACTGAGCCTTCACAAGTTTGGGAATCGACCTACCTACTCGTTTGATCGTAATGCCATCTCGCCTCAGGCTTACAACTCTGTATTACACGCACACAACTTAGTAAAGACAGATGCGCTGGGCACAGACGGAGTTACTGCTCCGTGATCATCCCAGGCCTGCAGCCCACAGCCTGAACACTCATCTCTCACATTAAGTATTCCACCCTACCTCTGTGTTTCACAGCAAGCACGTATGTTCCATACCTAAACCCGAATAAAACCATTCTTATCTAACACAGCAAGAATGAAAAACACAAGTGGAATTAAAATATAACTGGCTTAGAAAGTGCTTCCCACAAATTTTTCTCCAGCAATATTTGTTTTCTGTACTCCCTACTGATTAAAAGAGAATGATCCCACGCAGGAGACTAAAAGTTCATGTCTCTACAGTCCAGCGTAACACAGTAGAGAGCAGCAACATGACAACTCGGCTTATGGGTATGAGACATATTTAGGTTTTCAGAAATAAATGAATGCTCGAGCAAGTCTTAAAAACAAAACCCAAGACCTACGCTCAACCTGAATCAGTTTTAAGCTTTACATAAGTTCCTTTACAGAATTTTCATAACAGCATCTGAACATTTGTACTGCATCTTTTGGATGAGCATGAAGAGGTCTGCTCAGAAACCCTTCACATATTTCAGCTTATTCACGCATCATTAAGCGGAAACAGACTGTATAATTAAGTAGAATATTTCATGCTGCCTTACCCTCTCCTGCTGCGTGAGACTGTGTATTAGGCTTTTTGTTTACAGATGCATAAATAGCTTCTGGTCTGCAGAAAGAAAAAGAAGTTTGAGTAACTAAAGAGGCTTAAGAAGAACAAAGCTCTCTGTTAGGATGAGAGCAAGCTCTCCTTGCCTATCTCAAAGTTGGTATCGCCACTGAATTAACTGCAAAAACCTCCCTGGCTGTCAAACAGTGACAGGTATTACTGATATTTAAGATCTGAATGGCATCCAAGAGCACATCAATTTAAAAGAAAACACAGAAATTCAGTGAAAGTCAAGAAGATTCACAAATTATGTTATCCTAAAGAAGCACAAATTAAACATTTTGTCAAAATTCTCCCATTCTAGAGAATTTCTAAGAACTTTCATCATAACGCATGAAAAGAACAATTCATCAGCAGTGGTGCAGCCACCCCAGCAGTAACCAGACTTTGATTTATTACCTGAACAGTTACCTTGCAGCATTAAAATAGACATAATGATCTTTTCAAGTCAAGAAAAATACACTATTTGCGGAAGATGTGCCTTAGGAGCTTACAGTTCTCTGTAGCTCATTTAGAAATTGGCACCTTCAGAGGCAGAAAGTAACAACACTGCAAAAAAGCTGCCTCCATAACGAACCAAAACAAAGCCTGGCACTGGCTGAATAATCAAACACCGCTGGTTCTTCACAGCACTCATGCTTGGAAGACTGTTTACACAGTAGTGAGGCCCAATATTACTCGGTTTGCCAGAATGAAATAATAAAGGCCTAAAATGGCACAGTGGAAATTGTATTTATATTCTGCACTTCAAAGCACTGCAAGAATTTTGGACTTTAAACCACCTCTTTTTGTAAACTGTTGAGTAAAACTAAAATAAAAGTCGCACTTACTCCTCTTTCTTGATTTCGCTCCCAGGTAAGAGCTTGACGTAAGATTTTGGGAACCAACCCCTTCCTCCATGTACCTCTCCGAACCACCAGTTTTCCTGCTGCTCCAGGACAGTAATGATATCATTTTTTGAAAAATTCAAGTGGTTATCTTTTTTTGCAGTCCAAGAGCAAAGTGCTTGTGCTTTTAAGTTCTCGACAGGATGCCCCTGTTAAGACAGAAGTAGAGATGCTGATAGACCACGCTACCCCAAACCTGTGCCAGTGTTAGAAACAAACACTGACCTATCTTTTATTGAAGTTTAAGCAATTTCATTCCTAGAGCGATGCCTGAATAATTTGTTGATGTATACAAGCTGCTGACTGAGGAATAATCTCTCAACTCTGTTTCCTATTTGTTAGAAAGATCTTGTGTGTCTAATTACAGGTGAAAATTATTTTAGAATGATGAAACATACTGCATGAGTCTTCCTACTTACTGGTCCCTAGAAACAAGTGGAGTTATGTCAATGCACACCAGCAGAGCACTCAGACTCATTTCTTTATCCTCTAGCCTGTTCACTGCACCCAGTATGAGAGAAGTCGTGGTTTGTTTTGTTTTTTCTTTAAATGAGTTTCATTAACCTGAATCTATAATACAGCAAGTTCTACACTCTCACACAATGTACCTGTCCGTGAATGGGTGAAACAGATCCAGGGGACACAGTGCGAGTAAAAGCTGATTTCTGTTGCCACGCTGTATTAACATTCAGGCTAGAAAAAGGTATGTTCTGGTAATCAGATTCTTCTGCAGATTTACTTGGTGAAAGTGGTCTGCAAATTGAATACAGACATATTTAACACGTTACAATTTCTATTTTAAAAAGTACCTCATTTTTTTAAAAACAGATATTCCACACAATGCGAAGCAGGCTATCAAATACTTGATATTTCCAAACTAAGATTTTCAGGTAGGTTCTTCAGTAAATTTTTCTGCATTTATATTTTAAAAACAAACACCGCAGGGAAGCACACAGCACATCATGTGTTAACTAAATCTAGAAAGGTGATTTTAACACAAACGTGACAAATACTCACTCTGAAGCAGCTGAGGTAGTAGATAAAGATACTGTAGGAGGAAGTAAGGCCTTCTTAGGTGATAACCATTTTTCTCCTTCTGGTATTTTTTCTACGTAATTGCATGGAAACCAACCAACATGTCCTTGGAAACTCCCATAAAACCAACCAGGCTCTCCCACAGTTTTTTCATCCACCTATGGACAGAAGGATAAATACAAAGAAAACAATTAGCAGCGTGAAGCAAACAGGGTATCTAGTGCGTCAGCACCTGCTGGCACTCTGAACTGAACAGCGTGAGCAGCACTCACACAAGGATCAGCATTTCCATTCTCTTCCCTTTCAGAATTGAGCTGATTTTGCCCTGTTCAAGAAACAGGGTGATGATGCAATTGCACAGTTTCTAGACAGAGATCTTCGAGTCCAACTGTTAACACAACACTGCCAAGTCCACCACTAAACCATGTCCATAAGCATTGCACGTACATGTCTCTTCAATACCTCCAGGGACACCTGTTCCAGTGCTTGTCAACCCTTTTGGCGAAGAAATTTTTCCTAATATCCAACCTAAATCCCCCATTTGAGGCCATTTCTTGGTCGGTTGCTGGTCTCTCTTCCAAAGTAACAAGCAATAGGATAAGAAGAATCACAGAATCACAGAGTGGTTTGAGTTGGAAGGGACCTTAAAGACCATCTAGTTCCACCTCCCCTGCCATGGGCAGGGACAACCCAAACCACTCTGTGATTATGTGATTCTTCTCATCCTATCGCTTGTTACTTTGGAAGAGAGACCAGCAACCGGCCAAGAGTATCCTTGAACATTCACAGCAATACTGAAGTCTCCATTATGCCGCAAATTAATAAAAACTAGCTAAAAATTACCAGCTCAAGTACTATCTGCTAGTCAGCTTAGTTGAGGTTTGGGGTATAAGAGGAGAAGGAGGCAGTGATGGCTGTTAGCCTGTTTCTAGAAGAAGCTATCAGTAGCTAAATGGCACAAGCATATTTTGAGAAGGAAGCCGAAACAAAACCTACTTCTCTTGTTCCCTCTTCCATGATTCATTGCTATGAAAATGCAAATAAACTATTTAGTATTGTCAAACTGAAGGCTCATACCTAAGTGTTTTAATATTTTATACTATATTGCTTCATAAATTCTCCTTTACCACCTACCTATATCACTTATAATCTGAATGATGAGGAACCATACCTACTTATAAATTAGATATATAAATATTAATTGTATTACCACAGTTGTAAAATAGTTTTCACAACTCCACCTGAATGCACATGCTTTCATAAGCGTGTAGGCTGACAAGAGACATAATTACATGAAACAATAAAGATTTCAATGAAGAAGCAAGGAGATATGGTCCAATCTTTGGGTCCTGCTGTAATGTAGATGGCATACTCAGCTGAATCCAGAAAAGGGCTACAAAGAATGGACACAGAATAAACTGCTATAGCTCTCTGCCTGAGGGAGCATTTACAAAAGACCAGCCAACAAGAGGCAGAGGTCTATGTTAACAACACATTAGAAAACAGTACTAAGATTCAGAAGAACCTTTCATGTCTACTTGTTGAATAGTGTGTTTAATTTGAATTGAAACAGCATCAATACTTTTGTCATTTTAAGTAGCCATTCATGTCTTTATTTTCTACACTCAACAGTTCAAGTAGTCACTTAAAGGCCAACCTGGTCAAGTACAAACTGTAGCAACTACATAATTCCTGAATATTTCAGAAAGTTTATGTTTAGGGTTCACTACTGTTATTCTAAATAGGTTGTCAACACCTCTAGGACGTGTAAGATCCAAAGGAAGATTTTAGCTGAACTAATCCTAATTTCACCTGTTAAGAACAAAACAAAAAAACCCAATCAAATTTAAATTTAAGTGACTCTTAAAATATATCAAAATAATGCTTTCGACAGAAAAGACCTAGGTGTATCTCAAGGCTGGGGAAGCAGGGCTGGGTTTTTGCAAGTTAAATGTCAATAGCAAATCTTACCTGAATTATATCCCCAGCATTAAAGCTCATCTCGTCATGATTCCTTGCTTCAAATGGATATAATGCTCTGTAATTTACAAAGGCAACTGAATTCCTAGACTCCGAGACACTAACTGCATGGCCTGAAATAAGAAAACTAGTTACCATTTTGACACAGCTGAAAGATAGGCATTTATCTGGAGCCACACCGTTCTAAGCAACGGGTATGAACGTAAGAGAACTGCTTTTGCACCAAAGGCACTGTGCAGTATCCCAGGAGATACCCAGCTACAACAGGCTGACAGGACACGTGCAAAGCAAGCGCTGAACATGCTCATCTTGATGAGCATAACACAGGCAATGAAACACATGGTCTTCTGAAGTGAAAAAACGATGTCCTCCTAGTCTCATCTTTCCTTGTCAAACCGCTCTGGCTGAGCCGGTGCTTTGAGTCTTGCTTAACACAATTCTAATTTTACAAGTTGAGAAGATGCCACTGCTACAACAATCAGTGTTCAGCAGCAGGTGTGAAGATTTTACTTGGAAACCTAAAGCACAGCGATTTCTGTTTTCTTTGCATCTTTGCTCTCCAAGTCTGCGATTGGTGTCGCTAACAGTGAATGTTTTACAAGGTATAGCTGAGGTGTGCAAAGACCTTCCGGCAGTGTTCTAATTCGGTTCTCACTGAACTCGGTGATGAAAGCGGCTAATAAAAACTGACAAGAGCTCATGAAGGACGGAACTCATCAGAACTGCCTTTAGCAAAAATACTGTTAAACCAGCATCTTTCAAATTCCCACAGCTAGGGTTAGGCTGACTTGAGTTCTTTGTTTTTCAATAAAAGGCTCTGAGTAATGCAGAAATAAACTAGAATCCAGTGCTAATAAATTGCTGAGCATTACATGTCCATCCACTCATCACTGAACAAAACTCCTCCATATCAGCATTCTGCTTTAATGGCAGAAAATGCAGGCCTTAAGAAAAAGCTAAAATATCACAGTTTCCGGTATCTGCGATTTGTTGGCCATGATGACCAGAAGATTTGTCACCAGTCATAGGTGCTGAAAACTGACAGAATTAACCTAAGTTAATGGGATGATTTATACCTAAAGACATGGAACATTGCTGGGGTTTTGTAATGACAATAAGTCTGCCATTGTCTCACATGAGCCATAATACATCTAAAGACTGAGACAACACTCGGGAAAATAAGAACCATTAAAGCCAAAATCTAACAGACTAAAATTACCTTCATTTTTCCAGGGTGGCTTAAGACTTTTACCCTCTGTTGGTTTCAACAGATCTGCAAACTTCTCATTTATGTTTAATTTAGAAGTACGTTTCTCCACCTCTTGAGAGTTGGTCACTTCTTTCACCTTCTTTATTTCTTCGCTCTGCTTACGCCTCTCCTCAGCTTCTTTTGCTATTTGTTCTTGCTTTCTTTTATCTTCTTCCAGTTGCCTCTGCCTTTGTTGTTCCATTTCCTTCAAGATCGTGGCTTGCCTATTTTTCTCCTCCTCTGCATGAGGCTGTTGTTTATTTTCCCTTTCTCTCATCAGAGCTTCCTCGGCTTTCAGCTTTTCTTGAACTTTTTCCTGCATTCGTTCTTCCTCCAATCGCTTCTTTTTCTCTTCCTCTTCCCTGCGGATATTTTCCTGCCATCGGTTCTCCTTCTCCCGTTTTGCTTTTCTGAAAGAAAATAAATGAGAGAGGAGTGGGAGAACATTCAGATAAAGATGAGTGAGATACGAGCCTGTGATCAACCACCTTACTGCAGCCTTCCAGGACCTGAGGGGGGCTACAAGGAAGCTGGGGGGGACTTTTTACAAGGGCCTGTAGTGACAGGACAAGGGATAACGGGTTTAAATTGAAAGTGGGGAGATTTAGATTAGATATCAGGAAGAAGATCTTCATGGAGAGGGTGGGGAGGCGCTGGCACAGGTTGCCCAGAGAAGCTGTGGAGGCCCCATCCCTGGAAGTGTTCAAGGCCAGGCTGGATGAGGCTTGGAGCAACCTGGTCTAGTGGAAGGTGTCCCTGCCCATGGCAGGGGGGGTGGAACTAGATGATCTTTAAGGGCCCTTCCAACCCAATCCATTCTGTGATTCTATGAAATACTTTTCTCTCTGGGCAATAAGCTCTTCCACAGGAGACCACACTCTGTCTCAACATGACTGCCAGCGTGTTTCACGTATAAGTAACAAACGGATTACAGTTCTTGGTAAGGAAATAGTGCCACGTGGTTACTTGTGCAGTGTCTCCACAAGCACTTCTGAACACCTCCATGCTGTTGAGCAAGAAGTGACCTGTTAATTGAACAAAGGTGGTTTTAAGCTGTCCAAATCTCATGACTGCAAACCAAGATTTCCCAACAGACCAACAACAGAATTTCTCTCAGGTGCATACATAAAAATAGCCTTTGCATACTGGTCTTTGCTGGTTTTGTTTTTTGCCTTCAGTAGCTGTAATCGATTCAACACGCTCATCCCTGCCACTGCCACATTCTTCAGCAGACAGAATCTGGAAATCTGACTGTATTCTCTGAAATAATTCAGGTTTTATCCTCTGTTCCACCTCCACTAAAGGTAGTTATTATCCAATGTCACACCCTTAAAAATCATTGTATTTTAGCTGTCAAGACATGAGAAACCAAGAGCTGAGACCAGTAAAAGTTGGAGAGCTTGATACAAGGCTGGGCTCAGCAAACCCAAGCCCATATATGTGAAGGAATCCTCTCAGACATATATTTGAATTTTCTCATTTTCCTTCTAAAAAGGGAACCAAAGGTAGAATCACAGAATGGTTTAGATTGGAAAAGACCGTTAAGATCATGAAGTCCAACCGTTAACCCAGCACTGCCAAGCCCAAAACTAAACCATGTCCCTAAGCACCTCCAGGGATGTGAGTCAACCACCTCCCTGGGCAGCCCGTTCCAATGCCTGACAGCCCTTTCGGTGAAGAAATTTTTCCCAATATCCAATCTAAACCTCCCCTGGTGCAGCTTGAGGTGGTTTCCTCTTGTCCTATCACTTGTCACTTGGGAGAAGAGACCACCCTCCCTCTCTCTGCACCCTCCTCTCAGGGAGTTGTAGAGAATGATAAGGTCTCCCCTGAGCCTCCTCTTCTCTAGGCTGAACACCCCCAGCTCCCTCAGCCGCTCCTCACAGGAATTGTGCTCCAGACCCTTCCCCAGCTCCGTTCCCTTCTCTGGACACGCTCCAGCTCCTCAGTGTCTGTGTTGTAGTGAGGGGCTCAAAACTGGGCACAGTGTTTGAGATGCGGCCTCACCAGAGCCCAGTACAGGGGAATGATCCCTGCCCCAGTCCTGCTGGCCACACTGTTCCTGATACCGGCCAGGATGCTGTTGGCCTTCTTGGCCACCTGGGCACACTGCTGCGTGTTTTAAAACTCTAACCTTGCTCACTCACCCAGCTTTCAAGATTCAGATAGCAATTAAGCAGTCAATGCCTTTCCTGTTGTCTTAGGTATCAATAACTGCCTGGATGCACATGGCAAAAATCTGCTATCTACTCAGTCAGAAATGCTGTCGAAGAAATAGGTCAGATTTTTTGAAGGTCAGCAACACAAGCCAGAAAATAGAAGAAACCTGAAGTGTGGGGGAATTATCCATTAAATGAGCTAAAAATCTTATAGCAAAAGTGACTGCTTGGTTTATCTGAAGTATAAGCTGTTGGGGTTTTTTTACAGAAGATAAAAACAGATAGGGAAGAGGAAATTTAAGCCATCTTGTATCAGCTGTACTCCACACAAAACATTTTCTCTAAGATAACTCGCTAGGAAGTATTTTTACTGATTAGACCTCCTGCTTATTACAGTCAGTGTCTTAAAGCCACCACAGCATTCTTTTGCTTTACAAACTGCAACGCTGGTATATTCAGACACGGTACCTTGCAGCCTCATCTTCCAGTCGCTTTTTCTGTGCAAGTTCAGCTCTTCTTTTTTCTACCTCCCGTACTTTGTCCTGTTTGATCCTGTGGAGCTGCTCCAAGGCTAACTGCTGTGTACTGTAACTTTCTCTCAGGTCCTAAAGAGGAAAGAAAACGAAGAACATCAAAAGGAATAAAGCTAATGTTTCAAGAAAAGCATCCAGGCATTTTAATGCTTTGTGAACTAGGTTTTAATACAAATGGACAAAGTAACATTAAGTTATTAATAGTCCTTGGAGGTCACTGTAAAGAAAGTCAAATAAACAGAAGTTTATTTGAAGTCAAATAAACAGGTAGCTGGCAGGTTTGCAAAGCCTTTGCCATAGCTTAGGCTTTCAAAGAGCCCTTCCAGTCATGCACCTGCTGGAAATGACAAATACAACAGAGGAGAAGGGAAGATATAAAACAGAGTGTTCAAACACAACATTATCTAAGGACACAGAAGGCAGTAAAGCATATTTTAAATAACTAGAAAACACATTTGCCAAGAAGGCAGACTTCACTGAAAGCCAACACCACACCATAAACCTGAGAATGCACCCCTTCAGTAGGGTGTTCGCCTTGGCAATGCTGTCTGAATGATCATATTTAAATCAGACAAACGTTATACGAATACCCAGCAAGCTTACCACTGTGGAAAGCCATAGCCTAACGCCACCAACTCAGACTGGAGTTTTCCTGTATTTGTAAACTTCACAATTTTATTCATTTTCTTTCAATCACATCCTTCAATTCCTGGTCCATCTCCCCCAATAAAAACTTTTTCACAGCAGAAAATCACCATAAATCTTTGGGATAATTACAATTACAGAAGAAAAAAAAAATCAACAGTAACAGAATTGCTTTAGACTGTCCTGCAGCAGGTTACAAGTAAACGTCTGCATTATGTTTTTTTTTTAGGAATCCTACTGATACAGGCTAGGCAATACAACAGGTATATTCTGACTTTTTGTATCTGATCTCATAAATGCAAATGAAGCAATTAAGAACGATCTATTCCCACTACAGTATGCACCTTTACCAATAATTGTGTTGCCTAAGAGATACTGTGCAATTTATAGAAGGGAAAGGTGACAAGATTTCTGTGTCAGTCTCTGTAGCAACAAACTAAACCAAACAATTGACTCTATTTTCCCCCAACATATTCAGCTGAGAATGTTTTCTTCTAATTTTGCACAGAAATTGAGGATCACTATGGAAACAAAACTGCATTATAAAAACTCCTGCATCTTTGATTTAAGGAGAGAATAACCCTAATGCAAAATGGAAAGGTCAGTTAAGTAATTCTGAGAATAATTTATGGGGGGAGGGTGTGGGGGGGTGGAATCAAAGTCAGATTTCTGACCCTGGCAGACAAAAGCAATGTTGAGGAAAAACAGCAAGTAGGTTTTAGTACTGGGTTAATCTGGAGGTTTAACAGCATTGCATTTGCCATGTCATAAGTCACATTAATGCTATTTCTAAATTCAAACAAAAATTCATTAACCTGACTCAGACCTTAAGATCTATGGATAGAGGCATAGCGAGACAGGTAGAGAGCAAAGATGGAAAGGTGGGAGAAGACACTGCTTCCATCTAAGACAGTATTTTTTTGGCTGATGTTACTTTAACTAAAAATAAAAAATCTGGGTAAAGCAACTTAGTGAAAATAGTCCATTAAGAAATAAAGTGGGTGTCAGTATTTTGCAGTTTGGCTTTCTAAGAAAGTAAGAAAATTCTAGGTCTTTAAGAGGATGTAAATGCTAGCAGAAAGAAAAAAAAACCTATTCTTTTAGGAAAATTTATTAGGAGTTATACACCCAAACAGAAAGGGTAAGCAGAGAAAAAGTGCGAAATAATTAAAAACCAAAAGAGCCAAAGATTAGAAAATAACCTTAAGTAAGAGGAAGAGGTTGTTGAGACAGCTTAGCAGAGACAAAAGGCACTGAAGAACAGAATCATCCATATTCTCACACTGTAAAATAAGGCAGATAAAAAGCCAATTAATCTTTGCACTGTATTTTGAAAAACGTATTTTCGGGAAGACTGAATTGTGGATGCAGCCACTGAACAGAGCAAGCCATGCAATAAACAACTAAAAATGCATGTTATATGTAGCCATTGTTTACAAAGTAAACTCCTTAAATGTTTACAATTCCTTCTTTGTGTTCTTCTTATTGGAGAGTACAGAGCCCTCGCGCTGGCCCAGCATAAATCCATCGCTTAAGAACAAAGTTCGTATCACTGCTAGTAGGATTAAGCCGGTGAATGAAGTGGATACCTGCTACCCTGCCTGAGAGATGTGTGTTTTTGGCAAGTCAAGAGTTGCCTCTGAAACAAAAATGCCTTCAGGGCCAGTGGTCAATATTGCTTAACGTTTAATAAGTGGCCTGTGCTTCCTTTTGGGACAACATCCAAGTCCGCTACCAGATCTTGGTAGCAGTGTTCTGTGAAAGCCTGTAAGTTAAATCTCCAGTCCACAATTCAAAAAATGTAGCCAATGTACCTTCAGTACCATAAGAACAGGATTTGCAAGGGCCTGAGAAACTTCAGTTCTAATTCAAAATTAATTATAGCGGGCAAAAGTTGAGAGTGAGCAACAGCTGATTCATGCAAAGCAATGAGAAACAAGGGATTCCTATTTTAATACAGTTTTAAGTGCCTTTTTAATGCATTATTTACTCCAAAACTTTTGGTAATTCTTATTTGCCATTGGAAGCTGGGGAAAGCTTTCTGGAAGCCTGGTAGAAGTGCCGTCAATCATAATGACTAGATGGAGAAATAAAGACACTGCTCACGGGTGTAAGACTATTTAGATAAAGCATGTACCTTAAGCTGACTGTTAAACGCATCCATTTCGGCAAGTTTTGAAGCAGTTTCTTTCTCAAGGGCATCTAGTTGTTCCTTGAGTCTTTGGCATAATTCTTCCTTTTCTAGGGACTTCTTGTGCACTGAAGCGAGTCCCGTACCTGCATAAGGCAAGACAGGCAATTTTACAAGGATTTCTGTTTTCACTAATTATTTTATTATTTTCCAAACACACACACACACAAAAACTCCTTGATTTACATTTCTAGTCATATACAGCACAAAGAAGAAATGGCCCCAACACCTGAGACATACAGGCATTACATGGAACATCTACAGAATAGTTTGCAAGTTGTTGTTTTTTTTTAATCAACAATCACAGCAAGTTTCTTTGTATAGAGACTTCCAGTATGATTTGATGTGAAGACCAGTGTAAATTTTATATGAATTCAACTCCCCTGAGCTTACACTACCGAAAAAAGACAATATGTAATAGTATTTGTGGGCTGTATAGACTGTGTAAGCAAAGCTTCAAACAAAATCCCTGCTTTCTTGCAGAAATGTGTGTGTTTGCCCCTTATTTAGAACATGAAGGAAATTATGGAATGCAGATGCAGCAATGCTAAGATGGCATTAACTGAAAAGATATAAAAGTGAAAGTGTGATAACACCCCTGTATCCTTCAGCCTTTTTTACACGTGATAAAAGCCAGCAATGCAAAGAGAAGAGAATTCATCTGCAGGCACTTACTCTGAGTGTTTTCAAGTTGAGCATTTTTAATTCTTTCACTTAACAACTGCTTTTCAGGAACTAAACAGATTAGTTCATTCTGATGCTCCTGTAGATATTGAAGAGAACATAACAATTTTTTAATATTGTTTATAAATAATTAAGTAAAAATGGGTGAATTTTCAAACATAAATTCAACTCACATTAATGAACCATGGATGCAAATTATCATGGGGGAGAGGAAAAAAATATTTCTATACTCTCAAAATACATACATTAAAACTGATGTTTTAAGACACAACAACATTAACAGCTGTGAAAACAATGACAGACATGCTAAAAGTGTAAATATTATGATGAGAACATTTAAGTTGGACCGCTTGATGGATAAAGAACTGGCAGGATGGTCGCACTCAGAGAGTGGTGATCAATGGCTCAATGTCGGAGGGGAGATTGGTGACGAGTGGCGTTCCTCAGGGGTCGGTGTTGGGACCTGTGTTGTTTAACATCTTTGTCGGTGACATGGATGATGGCATTGAGTGCACCCTCAGCAAGTTTGCCGATGACACCAAGCTGTGTGGTGCAGTCGACACGCTGGAGGGAAGGGATGCCATCCAGAGGGACCTGGACAGGCTGGAGAGGTGGGCCACTGCCAACCTCATGGAGTTCAACAAGGCCAAGGGCAAGGTCCTGGGTCAGGGCAATCCCAAGCACAAGTACAGGCTGGGTGGAGAGTGGATAGAGAGCAGCTCCAAGGAGAAGGACTTGGGGGTACTGGTGGATGAAAAGCTGAACATGAGCTGGCAGTGTGCGCTGGCAGCCCAGAAAGCCAACCGTATCCTGGGCTGCATCAGAAGTGTGGCCAGCACGTCGAGGGAGGGGATTCTGCCCCTGTACTCTGCTCTTGTGAGACCCCACCTGGAGGGCTGCGTCCAGCTGTGGAGCCCACAACATCAGAAGGATATAGACTGGTTTGAGCGAGTCCAAAGGAGACCATGAAGATGATCAGAGGGCTGGAGCACCTCTGCTAGGTGAAGAAGAAGGCTTTGTGGAGACATCAGGAAGAAATTCTTCCCAGAGAGGGTGGTGATGCACTGGAACAGGTTGCCCAGAGAAGCTGTGGATGCCCCATCCCTGGAAGTGTTTTTTTTGGAGGAGGCTTGTAGCAACCTGTTCTAGTGGAAGGTGTCCCTGCCCATGGCAGGGGGGTTGGAACTAGATGATCCTTAAGGTCTCTTCCAACCCAAACCATTCTGTGATTCTATGATTCTATGTTGACTGCCCCGAACCTAACATAAAACTGTAACTTCCCATGATGCACAGGAACACGGAAAGAAGTTTCCCTGATGTGCAGGAGCCTTACATAAAAATATAGTAGAGGATGATTTATGGTATCAACTGATTTGAAACAATTCGTGTCTTACTATTCAAAGAGAGGAAAACAAGAAAAAAGAGCAGCAAGGTAATTCAGCCCAAAGACCAACTTGTTCTGCATACAGGAAAACATTCCTCATACAAATTTGAGTCTGGAGCCATAGAAGGATTCATAATTAAGGAGAAGTCACTATTATTGGTTCACAGAAGAACAGCTGAGGCTTTGACAACTGTTCTCATTCAACTATCGGCTTTTTGTAGTAGATGCAATCACTTCTTTAACACCACAAATAAAACTGAAAACCTCTGCAATGTGGACAGCCTCGGTGATTTCCTCTCTCCACTATAATCACACTGATTCACCATTCCTCCCCATGGGGATGTATTATCAACAGCATAATGGAAACACAGACTAGGATGTAAAGGAAAACTACAAGCTTAACAAAAAGTCATATACCTGAAGTTGTTGTTGTAGTTGCTTGATTTCCACGATTCCTTGTTCATATTTCCTATCTAAAGCCTCCAGTTCAGTTTTGTGAATTTCCTTTTTGCTTCGAATATCTTGTAATCTGCCCGAGATCTGCTGATGTTTGTCCGTCTAGAAAGAATTCAAAGACAAATTATACCATATACAGCAAAACACTGCTCCACTAAATCTGGAGGAAGTTCAGTTCATGATCAATTCTTTAAAATAATTCAAAATACATGCTTTAGATTTCTCATCCAAAACAGAGTGGAAGTCCTTGTGGGCCATTAATGTAAATTCTAAGATTTACCTTAAAATACTCTATTTCAAGATGTGTAGCAAAATTTCTGTCTTACCAGGGCTTCTAATTCAAGATTAAGGCTCTTCTTTTTAGAGGTCAACTTGACAATTTCTTCTTGTTCCCTGTTACGTTGATTAAGAAGTTCTTGGCGACGAATTCTCTCCCATTCCAATCGTCGCTGGCGCTCAAGTTCTTGCTTTGCTGCCTGCAGAAAAGTTACACTACTGTAAATTACAATGGAGATGCAGAACTCTGAGACCATGACAATATAATTGCACTCTATTTCAAAATAGCCTAACAGCAACACATCACATTGTCTTTTGTAAAGTGCTCTTATATGCTTCTGCGTCAAAGAATGGAGGAAGAGATCCTCTAAGGTATTTCATGCCATGCTCCTAACTCTGGATGAAGAAAAGCTACACAATTCAGAGAGAAAGTCTGTTTAGCTTAGGATACTGCCCATAAATGAGCACATGGACAGATATTACTCAGAGCCTCCTTTGAGTATTTCACAGAACTACACATGCAAGTCTTATCTTACGCATGCGCTGAGACATCATGTAGAAGTAAATTTGTCTCAAGTTCAACTGTCAAAATATTATCAATTATGAATGCAGTACAGTTTTGTTTGGTATACAGATTTTTGCATAAATCCAAGAAATCTGTCCAAGAAAACCCCATCTGTCCTATGAAGTAATCTTCAGCCTATACCAAAACTTGATTCCTTTATGATACAGTATTTTCAGACAAAACCAATGTTCTTTCTCCAAGGCAACCTGCCAATGGCCACGCAAGGAGACAGAACCAAAGCCAGCGTTCAGATCCTGGATGCTCTGTCAAGTGGAAACTGTATGCAGGTACATATTCCTTAAAGCATTAAAAAATAATGTCAAGAAAACAACCTCCCGCCTTTCTATTTCTTTCCTCCTTTCTTCTTCCCTTTGTCTTTCCAACTCTCGTTGTCTCTCCAGCTGCCTTTCCAATTCGAGTTGTTTTTTCCGTTCTTGTTCCCGACGTTCCCTCTCTCTTCGCTCTTGTTCTTCTCTTTCTTTCTGAGCCTTACGTTCGGCCTCCCTCTGCTGCTGCTCCAACAGGAGCTGACGGCGTTTTTCCAGCTCCATATTTCCCCTCTCATAGTTGGCTTTCCTTTTGTCCTCAAATGTCACTAAAGTAAGGAAGAACTAGTTATTTCTGTCCTGTGCAAAACACTGCTCTCAAACAAGTACCTCGGTTATGCCACTGAAGTCAAATACTTCCTTTTTGGCAAACTCAGTTTGTTGGGTCATGGATGACATAAGCATCTTGCATTTGTTAAAGTATTATTTTTCTTTTCAAAAATACCTTTAAATTTTCCTAAGTCTATTCCAATTGCAAAAAAAAGTTGTAATTTAAAACCGACCACAAAAATGAACTGAATTTTAGAGGAAACAAACGAACAGCTTTTATAAGCTAGGATAAGACTTTCTTCTGTTAAAAAGGTTTTCCACTGTGCAAGAAACATTAACACACAGAGAAAAAGCTTAGTTTTTAAGGGTGTTCCCTCTAAGAGCTCCCGGAGTTAAAAGCAGCAGAAAACAAAACAGGATCAAGCTCAATTACTGCCGTAACCACGCTCACTCCCAGTAACCACCCTTCCAAAAAGAGAGGCAAGTTGTGTCTCGCAGTGTGCGTGTAAGAGACCTTTGCATCAAGGAGTCAAGAGTAAAATCTATGTTATGCACAAACTGCATCTAGTTTTCAGAGAATTAAACTCCATTGAAACCTCTTGTTTTCCAAATGTCCAGAACAAAGTAATGCCAGGAACTTTCAGTTGAAAAAGAAGTTACAGTAGCATGGCAGTATCTGGCCATGAAGCATTTATTTTCAAAAATACATTATTAATCAGCAAGCTTTCGCTTTCCTACAGCTAAAAAAAGCCTCTGTGTCTGCCTTCTCCATTCTATTAGATGTAATAGGCTGACTACATCCACTTAACAACCTTCTTACCATCCAGGTTATAAGGGATGTAGCTCCTGAAATGAAGCTTCCTAGGGATTTGATTACATCTTCCACTTTCTAAGTGTTTCAGTGCCCTTCAAAGACAGTCCTATGCATTAAGAATCTGAACCCTATTTTACCTGGCTGTTTTTTCTGTGGCTCCTCCTCTTGCACAGGCTGGTAAGATGGCACAGTTCCATTTATATTTTCAGTATATTTTCCACTCCTGGAGGGAAAAGAAAACAAACGCACACCATTGTTAAAAAATTAACAGTTATTTTCTTTGTATAAAACACTTGATTGAAAATGGATTATGTTTCACTGCCCTCAGGGATATACCTGAAAGACGGTGGTACCAGTTCAAGAGGCAGAGTTAGTGGCAGAGGTTGTCCGGCTTTGGCCATATCAGTTAGGTGCATGGCTAAGACAAACTCATCAGCTTTCAGCTGCCCATCTCCATCAATATCAGCTAGCGACCTGCACAGTTTTAAGAGCAATAATAATTAGAACCAAACATCACAACCATTCGCAAATGATTGCTGAAAAAATGCACTGTAAAGATAATTGTTAAAGTAGAAAATACCTGTGAAATGTGCTGGTAAAAATAATTACAATTAATGACAGGCATAGTTGATGAAAGGAGATATTATTTTGTTTAATAATGTACTGCTATTCGAATGTTTTCATAAAATACAGCAAAAGGTTAAGAGACACCTCTTGATCTATTGCATCACCAAGAGAAGAGCTGGGAAGAGAATCCAGGACTGTTCTTAACCAGCTCAAAATGCTGGAAAACTTTTTTTTTTTAAGCAAAAGAAAACATTACATCAAATTCTGCAATAGGAACCTTTGCATAGAATTCTTTTTTTCCCTTTGTGTCCCCTCAACAGGGCTGGGAAGATGTGAACTGCCCCAGAGTACCCTGCAGTGGGTACTCCCCTCTGAGAGGGAGGCAAACCACACAATTATATGATAGGCCTACAAAATACTTCCCACACCACCCAGGGAGGGGAACAGTGAAATGTTTCTAGAGATCATAGAATCAGAGACTGGTTTGGGTGACCTTTAGGCACCTTTAAAGGTCACCTAGTCCAGCCCCCCCTGCAATGAGCAGGGAGACCTACAGCTAGATCAGGCAGCTCAGAGCCCCGTCCAGCCTGGCCTTGAATGTTTCCAGGGATGGGGCATCTACCACCTCTCTGGGCAACCTGTTCCAGTGTTTCACCACCCTCATTGTAAGAAATTTCTTCCTTATATCTAGTCTGAATGGGTCCTCTTTTAATTGAAAACCATTACCCCTTGTCCTGTCACTACAGGCCCTGCTACAAAGTC